AGGCAGAGTCCATATATATGGTCCGGTCCGGTCCAGTGCTAAGGCCAGGAGTATCTCAGTTCTCGTAGTCAGACAATCCGGGGGTCAAGAAAGCCAAGGGTCCAAGGCCACCAGAAACAAGAAGCAGTACTCTATGCTCAGGAATGATGAATGCTGTTTCCTGAGGCTGGAAACCCTGTTTAAGAAAGCTGGAGCCAGCTGCTTCTCATGAGGAGGAAGAAGGCTGATCAGCAGCAGGTGGAGTCAGTTTGTCTTCTGCTCCTTCAGGCTGCTGCTCAGCAGGTGAAGCCGACTCCTGGCCGGCTCATGACAGTCATCCTCTCGCCATGATTGGGAAGCAAATAAGAAGGGTCGGTAAAACGCAGGTTTGCACAGGAAGTTTGAAAAGCACTGTGGTGGTGTGGTGCAGTGGTTAGAGCAGGGGTCAGCAAACTTTTTATTATTAATAATAATAATAATAATAATAATTATTATTATTATATTATTATTATTATTATTTATTTATTTATACCCCGCCCATCTGGCTGGGCTTCCCCAGCCACTCTGGGCAGCTTCCAAAAGAATATTAAAATACTATAATACATCAAACATTAAAAGCTTCCCGAAACAGGGCTGCCTTCAGATGTCTTCTAAAAGCCTGGTAGTTGTTGTTCTCTTTGACATCTGGTGGGAGGGTGTTCCACAGGGAAGGCGCCACTACCGAGAAGGCCCTCTGCCTGGTTCCCTGTAACTTGGCTTCTCGCAGTGAGGGAACCTCAGTGTCCGGGTAGAACCATGGGGGTGGAGACGCTCCTTCAGCTTTTTCAGCAGGGGGCTCGTCCACTGTCCCTCAGACCTTGTGGGGGGGGCAGACTATATTTTGGGAGGGGAAATAGAACAAATTCCTATGCTCCACAAATAACCCAGAGATGCATTTTAAATAAAAGGGCACGTTCTACTCATGTAAAAACAAGTTGATTCCCTGACCGTCCGTGGGCTGGATTTAGAAGGCGATTGGGCCGCATCCGGCCCCCAGGCCTTAGTTTGCCTACCCATGCGTTAGAGCATTGGACAGTGGCGTAGCGTGGGTTGTCAGCACCCGGGGCAAGGCAAGTAATTTGCGCCCCCTAACCCGTGGATTTGCGCCCCCTAACCCGTGGATTTGCGCCCCCTAACCTGTGGATTTGCCCTAACCCCAGATGTTGCGCCCGGTGCGGCCAGCCCCCCCTGCACCCCCCACGCTACGCCACTGGCATTGGACCAAGACCTGGATTCTCACTGAATGAACTAGGGCCCAGCTACTGTCTCTCAGCCTAGCCTACCCCCCAGGGTTGTTTTCAGGATAGAACAGGGATGTGGAGAACCACGTGTGCTACCTTGGGCTCCTTGACAGAAAAGCTGGGATAAAAGTGTAACCAATAATAACAAATGCAGCACATGGATAACAGGAGAGACCGTCAGAAGATAGCGGCATGACCAGGAAATGTTCCAAGTGAGAATGCGCCTCCCTTGCCGTTCGCTCCATTCCAGAGCATCCCTCTCTGTCAGTCTTAATGGCAAATTGCGCCTCTCTCCCCCCAGGCCCCCTGAGATTTGTCAAATTAAATTTTTGAGAGGCGTTTGCGCGAACTTGTAAGGAAATCTATTCTCTGCATTTCAAGCTCATAAATAGTTGACCGGTTTGCAGGAGGGGAGGGGTGGAGGAGTTCTTAATCCTGTTATAATCTATTCAGGCAAAGAAAAATCTGTGAAAGTAACAGCCAGCAAGCTGTTTCTGCAGTACATAGCTTGGGGCTGGGGGTGGGGGCAGGGAAGTGCAGAGATGGCTGCAGCTTGCATTAAAATTCATGGCGTCCCTGGGTTTCCAAGGCCATTTCAGCAGTTGGCATTAAAGCAGTAGGTAGAGGGAGGTGAAGGAAATCTTCTCCGGCTCCCTGTTCGAAATTTTCTAGCAACTTTTTAGGCCACTCAGAACTCTTCCCATCTGCAAGAAACCAAACAACTGCGGCCATTTTGACGGGGTAAGTTGGATCCTGCCAAAAAAAAGTTGCAGTGGAGCCTGCTCCACTTCTGGGTTCCAGCCAGTCGTAATCTTTTCCAGGATACCCCATTTCACCCCACCCTCTTCTCATTACTTTCCTCTCCCCTCTCCACTCAGTATTCTATAGTCACTGATCATGCTCAGTCCAGCTGTTTTAGGGTTTTCCGTCTGTAATGGTTGTTATTTTATTTATACCCCACCCATCTGGCTGGGTTTCCCTAGCCACTCTGGGCGGCTTACAGCACATATAAAAACATAGTTATGGGTTGGTTGGTTGGTTGGTTGGTTGGTTGGTGGGGTGTTTGCTTATTCTTCTGTAAAGCTCAGAGTTCCCCCAAACCTGCCTATGAAGAAAGTTTGCAGCGTTTGGGACTTCCTCATTTAGAGAAAATGTTATGTACTGAAGTTCTCACCCTGGGCCAGCAGGGGGATACTGTAGATAGTTTTCACTCAGGTCCACATATACAAATAAGGAATTGAAAGTGACATTCAGTGATTGGATAGTTACAGAAAGTTGTTACTGTTGCGTGGTAGTGGAGCTCTATATAAGCAGGCTGGCTGAACCCTTCAGCTCAGTTCTGTGAATAAACAAGAGCTGTCTGAAGAATCGCTGTGTCGTCTGATATGTTCACCCACAACTTAACAGAAAAGGTGAGCAAGAGATGACATCACAGAAGTTTTTAAAAAAATTATACATGGCACAGAGGATGTGGCTACAGAATGGGGTTCGTCCACCTGAGAAGGTAGCCCATCCTAAACCTCTGCTGCCTTGCAGAAATATCTTCGGTAAAAGAAAAGACCAAGCGAAGTCCCTAAGATGGTTGGATGGCGCCTTGTACCCTTCCTTCCAGCAACTCCTGCAGCCAAGCTGGTGCCAAACGTCTTGCTCTGAATTTCCTTTGGGTTACAATAGCCAGGCCATCTGGGAAGCCTCCATAGACACTTGCCCAGGCCTGCAACCCAGGGAGGCCACTTCTGGTGCTGCTAAGACAGCAAAAACAATGCTGGAGGCAGCAGTTAGGAGTTACCAGTTTCTGCAGCCACAGCAGGTGCTGTGATTCTCCAGTAGTCTCCCCAGTGGCACACTCCATTGTCTCAAGAAGGCTGACGACAATAATCCCTACGCTGAAGAACAGCTCCTGAGGGTAGGTGGATACAGGGCAGAGAAGGAAACAGAGGGTTATTCCGATAATTGCAAATATGGGTGGATGGGGAGATAAACCTCCTGAGATACTAGGTAGTGTGCTCCCTCCTGCCCAGTGTCTTGACAAATCTAAAAGGCTAATATTTATCGCATGCATTTGTCAGGTTTTTGCGGTAGACTGCTGCCCTCTGATGGCCACAGGCATAAATTATGGCCTTGATCCTCTTTTAAAGGCCTCCAAGTTTGTGGACTTCTCTACCTCTTGTGGGAGCAAATTCCGCAGTTTAGCCATTTGTTTCTTTTTGTCTGTCCTGAGTCTTCCAACATTCTGCTTTGCTAGATATCCCTGAGTCCTAGCGTTAGAGAACAGGGAGAAAACCTTTTCTCTTTCCATGTTCTCCTTGCCAATGCATAACTCCTGTTATGGCACCTCTTACTTCCCTTTTCTAAACAAATGCCGCAACCTTTCCTCCTAAGTGAGTCACTCTATCTAACTGCATTGGGAAACAAAAGAGGGAGGAGTTTGAAAAGGACGTGCTGAAAAGGTTTTCAGCAAATCCAAGAGCACTTGTTTTTAGTTTAAGGTAAAGGTAAATGGGACGCGGGTGGCGCTGTGGGTAACACCTCAGTGCCTAGGGCTTGCTGATCGCATGGTCGGCGGTTCGAATCCCCGCGGCGGGGTGAGCTCCCGTCGTTCGGTTCCAGCTCCTGCCCACCTAGCAGTTCAAAAGCACCCTTAAGTGCAAGTAGATAAATAGGTACCGCTTTATAGCGGGAAGGTAAACGGCGTTTCCGTGTGCTGCGCTGGTGCTGGCTCGCCAGAGCAGCTTTGTCACGCTGGCCATGTGACTCGGAAGTGTCTTCGGACAGCGCCGGAAGTGTCTTCGGACGGCGCCGGCTCACGGCCGATTGAGCGAGATGAGCACACAACCCTAGAGTCAGACACGACTGGCCCGTACGGGTAGGGGTACCTTTAATGGGTGACCATTAGGTCCAGTCGTGGCCGACTCTGGGGTTGCAGCGCTCATCTCGCTTTACTGGCCGTGGGAGCCGGTGTACAGCTTCCAGATCATGTGACCAGCATGACTAAGCCGCTTCTGGCGAACCAGAGCAGTACACAGAAAAGCTGTTTACCTTCCCGCTGGAGCGGTACCTATTTATCTACTTGCACTTTGACGTGCTTTGGAACTGCTAGGTTGGCAGAAGCAGGGACCGAGCAACGGGAGCTCACCCTGTCATGGGGATTCGAACCGCCGACCTTCTGATCGGCAAGTCCTAGGCTCTGTGGTTTAACCCACAGCGCCACCCGCGTTCCTTTTTGTTTTAGTTTAAATTCTTTAAAAAAGATGGGAAAAGACATGTTGTCATTTTGCAATTTATTTATTTATTGCACATTTTGCAAAATTTAACTTCCTAGTCTCCAAAGGACTGAAGTTTTTGACAGGTTTTGTTGACAGGTTTTGACTTGGAGTCAAAAGAAAGTAATTTGAAAGTTGAGACATCCCGAATTCACTACAAAACTGAGGTTCTGCCCTCTCTAACAAAAACCCTGGCTCTGCCCATGTCCCCAGATGTGACCTTGTTGTTCTACTTTGCTTATTTGTTATGATTCTACGATTGACGGGCACCGCATAAGAAAGTCTGCGATTAAAAAGAAAGAAAGACAGTCCCCTCGTTCGTTGGTTCATTCACTCTGCTCTGCAAGTGGCTTTCCACGCCCCTGGTTTAACTACGCTGCATACATTTCCCAGAAGACATTGAGGCAGCAGGAGGAGGAACAACTGAGGAGTTCCCATGTGCCCAGCAAGAACTACATTTCCCAGCAACCCATTGGGCTCCAGGCCGGAAGTGGGAATCCCCAGTGCGGCTTCTCTTTCCATGAGTCGTGCGCGGAGACGCTAGGAAGATGTTGGGCTTTAGAGGGCGAGGTGCGAGGCTCCTGGTCCGGTGGAGCAATGGATCCTCGGCACCGCAGAGAGGTATTTCCCTGCTAGGTCCGCCTGGCCCAGCACTTAGGCTGTGTGGATTTACTTGGGAGTAAGAGCCAGGGGATCCAGTCGGGCTTGTTTCTGAGTGTTGCCCTGCGTCCTGTTCCCACGATCCATTTTTCAACAGCGCACCCTCAAGTTGCTGTGTTTTTGAAGTGCTGTCCTAAAAAGGAAAAGAGGCGATAGAAGCACAGGGAGCTGCCTGGCACAGAGTCAGGCCATGTAGTTCAGTGTTGCCTACACTGGCTGGCAGCTGCTCCCCAGGATCTCAGAAAGGGGTCTTCTTCATGCAAAGCAAATGAGCTATGACCCTTCCCCAAAATACTTAGATTTGGAAACGTGTGTGCCTTGCACATTTGTTTTTATCGTGTTTTATTTGTGTTTTTCTCTTGTATTTTTTATGCTGTGAACCACCCCTGGGATCTGCGGTTGAAGGGCGATATACTAATTTTAAAAATAATAATACAGTGGTACCTCGGGTTAAGTACTTAATTCATTCCGGAGGTCCGTACTTAACCTGAAACTGTTCTTAACCTGAGGTACCACTTTAGCTAATTGGGGCCACCTGCTGCTGCCGCACCACCGGAGCACAATTTCTGTTCTCATCCTGAAGCAAAGTTCTTAACCTGAAGCACTATTTCTGGGTTAGCGGTGTCTGTAACCTGAAGCGTATGTAACCCGAGGTACCACTGTACTACGGTTGTCGGAAAGCTGCAGCTATTAATCGGATATGTGCTTCCCTGTTTACTCCACCGCTGTTTCCTTCTCTCCATTTTGCTTTGCTGTGTCTAATATTATATTGTAAGCTGCTTGGGGCAGGGGCTTGGCTGAAGTGCTGTGCAGCTGCAGGTCATCTGACGCCGACCCAGAACTCCCCACATCACTACCATTTTGCTCAGTATTTATCCAGAGGCCACTACCTCTGGCCCTGACCCCATGAGCCATCACTGCATAGACCAGGGGTCAGCAAACTTTTTCAGCAGGGGGCCGGTCCACTGTCCCTCAGACCTTGTGGGGGGCCAGACTATACGGGGGAGGGGAATGAACAAATTCCTATGCCCCACAAATAACCCAGAGATGCATTTTAAATAAAAGCACACATTCTGCTCATGTAAAAACACCAGGCAGGCCCCACAAATAACCCAGAGATGCATTTTTTAAAAAGGACACATCTACTCATGTAAAAACAGGCTGATTCCTGGACCGTCTGCAGGTCGGATTTAGAAGGTGATTGGGCCGGATCCGGCCCCCGGGCCTTAGTTTGCCTACCCATGGCATAGACCATACTATGGAAGGCAGGCAAATAATCTCCAGTACAAAGCATACTGTAGGGAAGGAGACAGAGGCTCACCGGTAGAGCAACGTTGTTTGCTTGCAGAAGGTTCAGTCCCCGGCATCTCCAACTAAGTCTGGCAAAGACACCCGTCTGAAGCCCTACCAGTCAGTGTAGGCAATAGCTGACATCCCTCTTTCTGGAGAGGCACACCTTGTAGAATTATAGTGCCTGCTGTGGCTGTAGGGATCGATATGGAGGAGAGGCAATAGTGTGGTACAGCAGTAAAACTGCTAGCACATTTGCAAAGCTAAGCAGGGTCCAGTATGGTTTCAAATTGGATGGGGGAATGCATGTTAAGATTCCTGCATTGCAGGGGTTGGACTAAAGGACCTTTGGGGTTCCCTTTCAACTCTGATTCTAGGAATACTGAGCTAAGTCAGCCAGTGGCCTGACGTTGCATTAGACAGGTTCCTGTGTTGCTGCCTCACCCGCTAATTAACTGCTGGAAAATCGTACTACTTCCTTCTCCCTCTAACGCCATTGTCCGATTTTACCACCAGAAGGGCGGCAAACACCTTCCAGCAGCAATTCAAATATTTAATGCCAAAGTTGTCCCTAAATTATTATATGGCTGTGAAGTATGGACTACAGCAATATCAGGTAACTTGGATCGCCCACTTCATATGTTTCTGAGATCTCTTTCCGGCGTCCCGAGATGTGTCTCAGGTGCAGCCCTACGACTTGAGTTCGCCCAGCCCTCAATTGTAAAACGAGCATGGAGTCGAGCCATTTCCTATAGCTCCCACCTACTACCATCGGATGCTCGAATTAGAGGTGGTTTTTCCAATGTGATCCTAAGAGATATTCATAATTCTCCTTGGAAAACTACAATTAACCTCAAACTCCGCTCTCTTCTCAATCTGAATTGCAAAACTGTTCTTAACTTAGAGTGTATCAGTCCGGCGGCCCTACCTCCAATTAAAAAGAAGCTACAGCAACTTGACTTTTCCAACACAGCTTCCCATGCAAGAGGGCCGTGTTCAGGCCTAGCCCTAGCTATTCCACCCCCTGAAGGGATCCCTCTATACTGCTTCACAATTTCTTCGGAGGCTAAGCGAAGGGCCTTTACCTGTGCCCGTCTCAACTGTTTTCCTACAGCAGTTCTGTCGGGTCGTTATTCCAGAGTTCCCATCGCAAATAGAACATGCACCTGTAATGACACGGCTCTGGAGACTATGGAACATGTAATGCTCTTCTGTCCCAACTGGACAGATGAAAGATCTCGGTTTTTAACTCCTCTCGTGAACAAGTTTCATCTCCCAATCCAGCCCTGGATAGTGTCCCTTTTTTTGCAGGATTCTGATTGTTGGATTACCGAGATGACAGCTAACTTCCTGCTCAGTGTGATGAAGAGGAAAGCGGCACTAACTTCTTCTTTAACACCACAGCTGCAGTCGATACGCCGCACAATCGAACGTAGTTCCAAGTAGCCTTATTGTACAAGGACAATGGAGCTAGGACAAATCTGAGGAGCTAAAGGACCCTTTAACGATCCTCCCCCAGCCTCAGCAGTTTTTTTGTTGTTGTTTTTTTGTTGTTGTTTTTTTTTTGGTCTTTCGGTCACTCGATGTTTTAAATCCCCTGTCGTTTTTGTTATTTTTCCCCCCTTCTTTTTTCTCTTTAAGTATTCGCCCAGGACGATATCTACCTTTACCTCCCCACCCCCATTTTATGTTGTTATTTCTATGTATATCATGCTATGGCCACACAGCTAATGCAATAAAATCTATTGATTGATACTTCCTTCTCTTAAAAGTTCAGCTGTTTTGAATGCTGAAAGCAAGGTGGCCTCCAGTTTGTAGGCAACTCTCAGAAATTTGGGGAAGTTTGGGATAAAGTATACTGACCTTTTTTTTTAAAGGATGTTGGAATTGATGCTTTGGTGTGTGTGCTTGGAAAATTCCTGGGGCTGAAAAGATTTAAGCTGTCATCTTATAGATGCTGTTTGGGAAGTACCGTCTTTTTTGCTCTATAAGACTCACTTTTTCCCTCCTAAAAAGTAAGGGGAAATGTGTGTGCGTCTTATGTAGCGAATGCAGGCTGCGCAGCTATCCCAGAAGCCAGAACAGCAAGAGGGATTGCTGCTTTCACTGCGCAGAGATCCCTCTTGCTGTTCTAGCTTCTGAGATTCGGAATATTTCTTCTTCTTCTTCTTTTCCTCCTCCAAAAACTAGGTGTGTCTTGTGGTCTGGTGTGTCTTATAGAGCGAAAAATACGGTAAGTCCTACCGAACACAGTAGGACTTGCTTTCAAGGCAATGCGTGTAAGATTGCACCACTGGGCTTTTTTACGGGTACCGTGCAATGCTCTTAAACTGTTTGGAAATATAAGCAGAGGTTTAAAACTCCTTGTTCTATTCAGATTTTGCTGCCACTGCTCCAGTGAAGTCATACGACATGAGAAGAGTCGAAATAACACCACTGGAGCAAAGAAAACTCACTTTTGACACCCATAATCTAGTGCGTGACCTGGAGGCACACGGTGAGCAATGGGCGTGATCAAACAACAGTGCAATTGAACAATGGTGCTTAAACCTACAAGGATTCCTCAAATCAGTTTCCCTAAATGTCTAGCTTTCTGTGTGCAGGGATCTTTTGTGCATGAAGGAGCAATTGGTTTCACCAGCTGCTCCTTTTCTGCAGCCTGAATTGGTACAAACCTCTCAGTAGAAACTGAGCCAAGGGCTCCAGCATGGAAGTCAGGTTTTGCCTCTGCCCCAGGTTTATCTGAAGGCAGGAATATTTGATCTAGAGCTGAGATGGGGGAGCCTTTTGCAGCCTGGGGGGGGGCACATTTTCTTCTGGGAAGCCTTCAAGCCAACATGGCCCATGGTCAGATGAGAGCAGTGGCGTAGCGTGGGTTGTCAGCACCCGGGGCAAGGCAAGTAATTTGCGCCCCCTAACCCGTGGATTTGCGCCCCCTAACCCATGGATTTGCCCTAACCCCAGATGTTGCGCCCGGTGCGGCCGGCCCCCCCTGCACCCCCCACGCTACGCCACTGGATGAGAGATGTAGTACAATGCCCAGAGGACCACTGATTCCCCAACCTTTCCTTTAGGTAACGTCCCTCTTTTACATGTTGTGCTTTTATCTACCCTTGCAGGGTTTGGGAAAGAGCAGGCTGAAACCATTGTGGCGGCGTTAACGTCTTTGTCCACTCTCAGCTTGGATACAGTCTACAAAGATATGGTGACCCAGGCTCAGCAGGTGAGGAGGTCTTTGCCCCATTCCCTGCCCTGGCACTGAGAAGATGTCAGGGAAGGATCTGCAGGCAGACCTTGCTAGGGGAAAAGCGTTCTGCAAACAGGGAGCAGCAACAGAGAAGTCCCTCTCCCTTGTCATCATCACTCTCCAAGCCTCTTGCTGTAGATATAAAAGGTAAAGGTAAAGGTACCCCTGCCCGTACGGGCCAGTCTTGACAGACTCTGGGGTTGTGCGCTCATCTCATTTAAGAGGCCAGGGGCCAGCGCTGTCCGGAGACACTTCCGGGTCACGTGGCCAGCATGACAAAGCTGCATCTGGCGAGCCAGCGCAGCACACGGAACGCCGTTTACCTTCCCGCTGGTAAGCGGTCCCTATTTATCTACTTGCACCCGAAGGTGCTTTCGAACTGCTAGTTTGGCAGGCGCTGGGACCGAGCAGCGGGAGCGCACCCCGCCACGGGGATTCAAACCACCGACCTGACGATCGGCAAGTCCTAGGCGCTGAGGTTTTATCCACAGCGCCACCCGCGTCCCTGCTATAGATATAGATATAAATAAAAATATAGTTTCTGGAAATTTTGCCTTCTTCCCGGTATAATAATAGGGGTTATAAAAGAAACAAATCAGCGTTGTCCCTTTTTTGTTCAGCTTTCGCTGATACATTGGGCACACTTAAAGAGAAGCTTCCTAGGATCTGTCCAAATACATACATGGTAGAAGGATCTGGAAGTTTCCTTTTTGTTTGCCAACGCTTTTCTGTTTGTTTGCAAACTACTCCAAAGTGAATGTGCCTTCCTGGGTTCTGACACAGAGTGACAGTTATGGACGAAACTTCGCAAGAGCCCAAAGCCAGGCGTGAATTCTAAAACATTGTTCCACAAGCATGAATTGATTTCTCAACCCAAACTAGGAAGCCCTGTGGCCTGCAAGGTTGCAGTTCCAACAGTTCCGAAGCTTTCACCAGGATTTTTAAAAATTCATGACAGAGAAAGGAATGCCGCGCTCGTTTTGGAATTGTTGTTGTTATTTGAGAAGCAAAGGCCCCAACCCAACAGTGAGACCTCTCTGCGCTTTTCCTTAGGGGGGGAAATGGAATATTTGCTAGAATTGAGAAGGTTACATCCACACTATAAAGTTAAAGCAGTCATAGCATTTAAGCTGTCATGGCTTCCTCGAAATAATTCTGGGAGCTGTAGTTTGCAAGGATGCTGAGAGCTGTTAGGAGACACCCTGTTCCTTTTCAGAGCTACAGTTCCCAGAGCTCCCTGTGAAAAGGAATTGATTGTTCAACCTCTCTGGGAACTGTAGCTCTGAGAGGAATAAGGGTCTGAGGGGAAATTTGAGCAGCAAAGGTAGAAAGCTAATAGTGAGGCCTTGCTGTGCTTTTTCTTTTTTATACATAAAACCAAGAAAGAAAGTAGGAATACTTGCTTGAATTGACCAGGCTACATTCAAACTTTACATTAAAGCCGTAATGGCTTCCCCAAAATAATTCTGGGAGTTGTAGTTTGCAAGGATGCTGAGGGTTGTTAGGAGAGACACCCTGTTCCCCCTCACAGAGCTACAGTTCCCAGAGCTCCCTGTGAAGAGAGATTGATTGTTAAACCGCTCTGGGAACTGTAGCTCTGAGAGGAATAGGGGTCTGCTAGCAACTGTCAGCACCCTTACAGCTCCCAGAATTCTCTGGGGGAAGCCATGACTGTTCAAAGTAGTATCATGGTGCTTTACATGTGTGGCGTGACTGACCTAGAGCTTCCTGCTCCCTTCAAGTGCAGTGGTGCTGTGTATCATTCTGCAGCCTGCCTTTTGACACCCAGTAGTCTAGGCCTGAGGGACACGGGTGGCGCTGTGGGTTAAACTACAGAGCCTAGGAATTGCCAATCAAAAGGTCGTTGGTTCGAATCCCCGTGACGGGGTGAGCTCCCGTTGCTTGGTCCCTGCTCCTGCCAACCTAGCAGTTCAAAAGCACGTCAAAAGTGCAAGTAGATAAATAGGTACCACTGCAGCAGGAAGGTAAACGGTGTTTCCGTGCGCTGCTCTGGTTCGCCAGAAGTGGCTTAGTCATGCTGGCCATATGACCCAGAAGTTGTACGCCGGCTCCCTCGGCCAATAAAGCGAGATGAGCGCCACAACAACATGTCGGCCACGACTGGACCTAATGGTCAGGGGTCCCTTTACCCTTTTAGTCTAGGCCTGAGATTTAAAGTCCTGCTTTCAGTGCATACTTTCAGTGCATAGCTCCAAACGTCTCCTTGGCAACCACTTCTGAAGGGTTTCCCAGTTTCCGGGGTAATTTCATAGGAAAGTGGGAAGCCACCATGTCCTCAAGTCAGACCAATGGTCCCTCAAGCTCCATATTGTCTTACAGCAGGGGTAGCCAATGGGATGCCTTCCAGAGGTTGCTGGACTACAACTCCCATCATGCTTTTAATTCTCATGGAGGGTGATGGGAGTTGTAGCACAACAAAGCCCTGGCCTCAAACGGAAATGCAGGCTGCCCACCCACAAAGTTATAAACCGAGTTAATGGGTGATCTTTGCTGAGAAAACTCTGGGCAAAAGATCCCTACCCCTGAATTAAAATTTAATTTTATACGAAAAGATTTGGAAATGTTTCAAAAAGCCTTGGGGCATCTGTGTGGGTCTTTTTTTTCTATTTAGGAAATAACTCTGCAACAGTTAATGGCTCATCTCGACTCCATCCGAAAAGACATGGTCATTCTTGAGAAGAGTGAGTTTGCCAACTTGAGAGCAGAGAATGAGGTAATTTCCTCCAATAAAGCAATTTACTCTGTCACCCTTCCTTTTTCTTCATTTACTTAAGGCTGCTCATCTGCAAAGAAAATGCAGCAATTGGCCTTGTTGTGTTTTATTAGCAACATTTAGTTCTTCAGAAATCACAAATAATAGGGGAAGCCCACAACTTACATTCTGGGGGTCGTGCCTAAAGCCAAAATTGAGTATAGTTTCAACCTTTCTGAGTCCACGGCTCCCTTGACCAACTACATTCTCTTTTTTTAAAATAGCCAGCCATCCTATATATACACTGTCATGGGACTTAATTCCAATGACTTGCTTATGAGTTTTGCCTTTATGCGTTCATAATTTGATGTCTTCCACGCAACATGGAAAGTTGTTGCCAAATCTTCACACGCGCACACACCCCATTGCTATAAGCATTTTACTTTTCATTTTTCTTAATTAAGCATCTGCTGACCCAGGTTATTTTCCTCTCCCTCCCCCTCCCCAATCTTTCCTGATACCCAGAAAATGAAGATTGAATTGGATCAAGTTAAACAGCAGCTAATGGTAAGTGGGCAAGGAGTGGGAGGGAGGACAATACGCAATTTCTGAGACATTCTGGTCCCACGATCGCTCAGGACTTCTTCTTTTTAAGGGTATTTTTTTGGTGTCTTTCCTTTTAAGAATGAAACCAGTCACATCCGAGCTGAAAACAAGCTGGACATAAACTTGGAAAGAAGCAGAGTGACCGACATGGTGGGCAATTATTTTCATTACTGCACCCCTTCCTTCTTTCTTGGCTCCAGCTTTTTTGAGAATTGACAATTTCATATATTGCTCTTTTTCTTTTTAAAACGTTCCAGTTCACAGATCAGGAGAAAAAGCTCATGGAAGCCACAACAGAGTTTCATAAAAAGGCAAGTCTTTGAGGTCTCTCTCTCTCTCTCTCTCTCTCTCTCTCTCTCTCTCTCTCTGTGTGTGTGTGTGTGTGTGTGTGTGTGTGTTTACACTTAAATTGTGCCTTCCATTGAAAGCTCTCAGGTTTCCAGAGGTCTCCCATCCAGACATTGATCTGAGCCACCTCAGCATAATTCCGGCATCAGAAGCTTGCAGACCATTCACTGAGCCCTCTAAAAACCAGCCTGTATGTTACCTTGGAGCCAGTGAAGGCTGGACCATTAGGACAAAGAAACCACTGCCCCACCAGTCTCAGTCTGCCCACAGCCAGGACCCACTTTCCTGCTTTCTTACTCACATCCAGCCCAGAGGGTGGTCCTCACTGTCAGCTTCCTCCGCCTTAAGTCTCAGTGTTGGCCTTGAAGAACTCAGCAGGGAGGAGGATGTGGGGGGAGACAGAAGTTGGGTACCACCCACTTCCGACCTCCCTGCCTTCCACCAGCAATAATAATAATAATAATAATAAAATTTTATTTATAACCCACCCTTCCCGGTTCAAAAACTGGGCTCAGGGTGGCTAACAACAAATTTAAAACACTTACAGTGGTGCCTCGCAAGACGAAATTAATCCGTTCCGCGAGTCTCTTCGTCTTGCGGTTTTTTCGTCTTGCGAAGCACAGCTATTAGCGGCTATTAACGGCTTAGCGGCTATTAGCGGCTTTAAGAAAAAGGAAACAAACTCGCAAGAACTCGCAAGACGTTTCGTCTTGCGAAGCAAGCCCATAGGGAAATTCGTCTTGCGGAACGACTCAAAAAACGGAAAACCCTTTCGTCTAGCGAGTTTTTCGTCTTGCGAGGCATTCGTCTTGCGGGGCACCACTGTAATTATAAAAGCAGCATAAAATACAGCATAAAAACATGAATAACAATAAAATTCAAAAATCAATTTAGGGGAAATGAGCATTAGATAATCCCCAGGGCTAGCTGGCTGAATTGGTCTTACTTGGGCCAGTGAGGAGGCCAGGGGAGAATTAGCTGTGGGGTCTCAGAGCGGGTGATCTTCATAAAAGGGGAGGGGGAGGGAAGGGAAGGGAATAAAAGATCAGGCTGAACTCAAATTAAAGGTCAGGTGGAATAGCTCTGTCTTACAGGCCCGACAGAAGGAGGTTAAATCCTGAAGGCCCTAGTCTCATGGGACAGAGCATTCCACCAGGTCGGAGCCATCACTGAAAAGGCCCTGGCCCTGGTGCAGCTGCATTTTTGGAGCTCCTGAGATAACTTTTTATTTTCTGAAAGCAGTTGCAGGGGGGCAGTTTGCACCAGGGCGAGCACAGCCCAGAAGGGGAAAGGCCTGCCATGTTTTGTTTTGTTTTTAATATATTTAAAAGACAGGGAGGATAAAAGTGGTTTTTTGCTTGGCCCGAAAAGGATAACAAACGTTGGCACCAGGTGGGTTTCGCAGGGGAAGGAATTGTACAAATGGGGCCAACACTGAAAAGGCTCTCTCTCTCTCTCTCTGGCCTTATCTCCATTGAAAAGCATCGCTTGCCTTGTTCCCTTCTAGGATTCGAGCACCAACAGCTCCGTTACGGAAGTCAGCAATAAAATCGATGCCGAGATCGCAGCCCTGAAAACACTCATGGAATCGAACAAGCTAGAAACAATACGTTATTTGGCAGGTATGTGGCTGGGCTGTTGAAAAATCATGTTCCAGAAGAGTAAACGTATAAAGCCAGGATGCCTAAAAGTCTTATCCCACCCTTATGCACCCAGCCCAACACAGTTACCTTCTCAGGAGGCCCATCTTGCATGATGTAGGAACCGGGCCTTTCTTGTGGTGGCCCCTGCCTTTGGAGCTGCCTCCCATTACACATCAGACAGGCACCTTCTCTGCTGCCTTTATGGCACCCACTGAAGATCTTTTAGGTGGAGATCTTTGTCCCGGTCTCTATTGGGTTTGAAATTGCTTTTAACATACAAAATGTTCTTTTGCCAGTATGGTGTAGTGGTTAAGAGCGGTAGTCTCATTATCTGGGGAACTGGGTTCACGTCTCCGCTCCTCCACATGCAGCTGCTGGGTGACCTTGGGCCAGTCACACTTCTCTGAAGTCTCTCAGCCCCACTCACCTCACAGAGTGTTTGTTGTAGGGGAGGAAGGGAAAGGAGAATGTTAGCCGCTTTGAGACTCCTTCGGGTAGTGATAAAGCAGGATATCAAATCCAAACTCTTCTTCTTCTTCTTTTGTAAATGGAGTTGCTTTTCTTGTTGGTGTTTTTGCAGTGAAAGCGCTTAGCTGTGATTCCTGCATTCAGGGGGTTGGACTAAATGGCCCTTGGGTGTCCCTTCCAGCTCTGCAGTTCTATGATTCTATTATTCTGCTTTCTGGGAAGCCAGCCAGCTACCTGTAGCCACATGGAGCCTCTGCTTAAATCACTATGGAGGTTTCGAGATTCCTTTTTAAAGTTTTAAGCGGTGTTTACATTCAGTTAATCAATTAATTAATAGGAGATGTTGCGAGGAGTCAAACTATGAACAATTTACAGTTGAACCTCAGTTTTCGAACGTCTCAGAAGCTGAACGTTTCTGCTTTCTAACGCCAAAAACCCGGAAGTAACTGCTTCAGTTTTCAAATGCTTTTCAGAAGTTGAACGTGCCACGTGGTTTCCGTATTGAGTTTTCCATAAACAAATGCTTCCGGAAATGCATGCTTTGGTTTTCAAACATTTCGGAAGTCGAACGGTCTTCCAGAACGGATTACAGTGGCACCTCGGGTTACAAACACTTCAGGTTACAGACTCCACTAACCCGGAAGTAGTACCTCGGGTTAAGAACTTTACCTCAGGATGAGAACAGAAATCGTGTGCCAGTGGCACGGCGGCAGCGAGAAGGCCCCATTAGCTAAAGTGGTACCTCAGGTTAAGAACGGTTTCAGGTTAAGAACGGACCTCCGGAACGAATTAAGTTCTTAACCTGAAGTAGCACTGTATGTTCAAAAACGGAGGCTCCACTGTAATATTTTGGTGAGTAGCAAAAAAACAGCAACTTGTGCGTAGCTTAAAACCCTTTTGAGATGCTTGGCACAAACTTATTCTTTTCTTTTTCTCTCTGTGTGGCTTTTTGTATTTTTTTACAGCCTCTGTATTCACTTGTCTTGCCATCGCCCTGGGATTCTACCGATTCTGGAAATGAAAAAGCCAGCCTCCGGGAACAAGGGACAGAACAAGAGCTTTTCTGATTTGAATCGACACCATGCTTGGCTGACACAGCTCTGGCAGACGGCAGACTCTTTCAAAGCCTTTTGTGTTGGGTATTGGTTTTTAAACACATAACCGGGGGGGGGGGGGCGGTGTTCTCTACAGGCACAGTAGTCTGAGTCAAAACTGACCTAGTTTGCATCTCTCGGGGCTGGTTTGGTGCTCCCACATACTCAAAGCCAAAAGATCTATAGGTGGGACATTTTTTTAAAAAAAGAAAACCAAAAAAGAAGACGCTTATTTGATGGAGAGATTGCTATGCCCATTGTCATCATTATGTATGTTTTTCTGACACCCTCCCAGGTGGAAGGACTATAGCTCAGCGGTAGAGATTCCGCCTTGCATGCAGAAGGTTCCAGGTTCAATCCTCGACATCTCCAGTTAGGGCTGGAAAAAGCTCCCTGCCTGTAACTTTGAACAGCCACTGCCGGTCAGTGCGGACAGTATTGGGCTATGGGGCCCAAACAGTCTGACTCAGTAGGTATAGCTTTCTGTGTTCCTATGAGGTGGATCCCGCTAGTTCCTCTTGGTCTGAGCAGTAGAGAAATGCAACCCAATATGATGGGGAACCTACTGTCAGGGGCAGGTCAGCAAAAATATTGGTGTGGTGTGACATTAACTCTTCATTCAAAGAAACCAAAACAGCACAGGCCTAGTGATGCTAGCAACTCTTCCCAGTAGCAACTCAATGAGGCAGTTACGAGGACCAAAGGTCCTCACAGCTGCCTATGTCCCCTTCTCTCCTGGGCTTTTTCCCAAGCAACTGGAAATGGTATCTGCGCACAACCAATCTCTCCTCTTTTCATTTCTCTGTGTGTTCTGGGAGACCAGGGGAGAGGGGAGCTGGTCGTAGCAGGAGGGGGAAACCCCCTGGATTCTTCAGCAGCCTGCCTCATCTCTGCCTCCTGGCCCCAGTCCTCTCCAACCTCTGCTTCGGCCTCTGAGCCTGGACTGCTCTCTGCTACAGCCTCTTCCTGCTCACTAAAGCCTGTGCCCCTTCAGCTTCCAACATTTGACGCTCCCTCCAGGCCTTGCACTGCCTTCCCAAAGCCAAGTAAGCGAGGCACTGTGCCAGGGGTCGGCAACCTAAGGTCTATGGGCCATAAGCAGCCCATGGGGGTTGTTTAACCAGCCCATGGACCCCTGCCGCCCTCTCGGTCGGCTCCCGTGCACCGCACTGAACTGGTGCTGAGCAGAGCAGGGACTGCCTTCTGTGCTGCTGGCCGGCTTCCCATTGGCTGCAGGAAGGTCCTGCAGCCAATGGGAAGCTGCGCACACCGGAAGGAGCGCCAGAAATAGCATTTGTGCACTCCAGCCCACAAAAACTGCCAGCCCCTGCACTGGACTTTGGAAAGGAGGCTCACGGGCTCTGACAGGCAGCTAGAGTCTTCCCACCTCCTTCCCAAAGCCTAGCTTTCAGTTTCTCATTTTGGATGTCGGAGGAGCGGGCCTGTATAGAGCTTTACTTTTTCTTCCAAATAACGGAAAAAATAAATGCATACTCAACCGCAAGACATTGGCTATTGCATTTTTTAGCTGTAAAACTCTCTCAGGCTGCAGTTCCCCCTACGGAATGCTTGAAACCTTCTTGTGCTTTTGATGTTAAACACCTCAAATTTATTGAGTTTGGGTTTCTGGTGCTCTCAAGAGGCCACAGCTGGGATCACTTCCTGGCTAGAATTCTGCCAGCATTGAATGCTTGCATTTTGCAGTTATTTTGTAAAGTCCTTTTCTGCTGGTGTGGGCTGGTGCATCCATCAAAGGTTGGTGCAATGCAAATTGCAGCTTTGGAGGGGCATATGGGAGCTTCTAACTCCAGCTCTTGTGTTTTGGGGGAGAAATCCTATTCTTCCCTAATACTGGGGTTGAATTATCATCCTAGGCCACACCAATGCACACTCAGAAGTGAGTTGACCATGCTGTCTGGGGCTGGTGGGAACTGGAGTCCAGGAACATCTGGAGGGCCACAGGTTCCCCATCCCAATGTAAGGCATGGTGTAAGTGTGTGCCCACAGTGCAAGCATGGGCTTGAGTGTGTGCAAGGTGTGGAAGGGAGCCTGATGCTTAGCACCCTTGTCACATTCATTGGCTGTTGCTGGACTCCAACTCCCATCAGCACCAGCCAGCATGGTCAATGTTCTGCGAGAATGAAGAAGAGTTTGGATTTGATCTCCCGCTTTATCACGACCCAAAGGAGTCTCAAAGCAGCTAATATTCTCCTTTCCCTTCCTCCCCCACAACAAACACTCTGTGAGGTGAGTGGGGCTGAGAGACTTCAGAGAAGTGTGACTAGCAGCTGCATGTGGAGGAGTGGAGACGCGAACCCGGTTCACCAGATTACGAGTCCACTGCTCTTAACCACTACACCACACTTGTCGTCCATCAACATCCGGGTTCCCCATCCCTGATACAATGGTTCAAAAGAGCTGCCTATATTTTGGGGGCTCTCTTGTGGGGGCATAGAGTCTTTGCAGGCTATCTTGTTGAACTGCAATTCAAACATTTACCACTGGCGATGACTGCTTTATTCAGCAATAGGCTAGCATTGATAACAGTTTTCTGGAATTCTAGCAGTTGCAGGATGTGATGGGTACTTTTCTTAACGATCTCAGTCTGTTTAGCTGGCTTTATTGTGCATGTTATTACTGTGCATAACACTGAACCGCTTTCTGTGGTTGAGAGCCACTTTAGGAATCTTGGCTGAGAAATAAGGTGGATATTATATTTTTTATATACATAAAGAGAGAGAGAAGAATTGATGCTTTTGAATTATGGTGCTGGAGGAGACTCTTGAGAGTCCCATGGACTGCAAGAAGATCAAACCTATCCATTCTTAAGGAAATCAGCCCTGAGTGCTCACTGGAAGGACAGATCGTGAAACTGAGGCTCCAATACTTTGGCCACCTCATGAGAAGAGAAGACTCCCTGGAAAAGACCCTGATGTTGGGAAAGGAGAAGGGGACGACATTGGATGAGATGGTTGGATAGTGTTCTCGAAGCTACCAGCATGAGTTTGACCAAACTGCGGGAGGCAGTGGAAGACAGGAGTGCCTGACGTGCTCTGGTCCATGGGGTCACGAAGAGTCGGACACGACTAAACGACTAAACAATAACAACAAAGAGAGAGTGTTTAATGAAGTGCTAATGTCTCTTAATTAGCAATACATCTCAGTGGGGTCTTCTCCTGTAATGGCAACCTGCCTGCTACCACGTGCCTCTAGGGTAGTGGCTAGGGAGACCTGTGCCCCTCCAGATATTGTTGGACTACAACTCCCATCACCCCAACTGGGATGTTGTTTGGGGAGGGCAGATGGGGAGTTGGAGTCCAAAACTTGTGGAGGGGCATGGGAGGTCTTCATCCCTGCTCTAAGCTCATATGAAAACTGACATTTGTACCAGATGAATTGATGGAGAAGATATTTTCAGTTCAGGGAAGGAAGTGCATTTGCTTTGGATAGCTGAGAGCCTAGATGGAGCACTGTTAACCAGGGCGCTTTCATTCTGGCAGCACCTGCATTTTCCAGCCAAACTCTTTCCCCTCTCTTTCCAGCAAGAGGCCTGGAAGACCCTTTGCTCTCCTGTTAGTACAGTCTCACAAACACTCCGCTGGAGCTGCAGAAGGGCTTTTTCTTCAATTTCTTTTTCTCCTTTGCGACTTCAGGGGCTGCTCTACTGGTGTCGGAGGCTGCTTTATCACAGTCGGAGGGCGCTTTGCTCAGGTCACCATCCTCCTGCAGAAGCAACGTTGAAAGTGTTAACCCACTGCCATGCTAACTGAAGAGGGGGGAACGGAAGGTCTTAAACATCAGGAAAGCACACCAGTTTGCCTTCCTTGCACATAATACTAAACCATGGTTTACTAAAGCATGGCTTTGCACTACGGGTGAGCGTGGCCCAGCAGCTCAGTTTATGGGTAAAGGTCGTTCATTGACCAAGGCTGGCATATAAGCCTTTGTTAACATTAACTATAGCTTAGCGTTACCTGGTAACTTGGACTTCCTCCTTAACTATGGTTAAGGACCAGGCACCACCCAAAAGCTCCAGAATCACGAGTGAGGAGCAGCAAAAAATTCAAGCCATTCTATGGTTTATGGCTTATTTTCATGGGCGAAACAGGCCAAGGTTGGGTATTGAACTAGGGATGTAAACAATAGTGCAATTGAAGCCTCCTTTATGTATGTAGCTTCCAGAGGAGCAATAGCCACTTGCTTTTCTAATATTTCTTTGGTGTGCCGGTTTGTCACATCTGGCGTTGTCAAGTGTGGAAGCACTTCTTGACCTTTGCAGCTTCAGGCTGTGGATCGGGAAGTAATCTGCAAGGGGCTGGGCATGGTGGAACAGATTAAAGGCTCCCTGCACACAGAAAGATAGCACCACTGCCATATGCCATCAGCTACTGTGAAAGTCCTAGGCAGGGATGGGGAATCTGTAGTCCGGCTACACCCAGAGAGTCACAACTCCTACCATCCCTGGCTGTGGTTGATAAGATCCACTGAGATCCAGCGCCGAGGGCCTTCTGGCGGTTCTCTCATTGCGAGAAGTGAGGTTACAGGCAACCCACCCTGTGGAACACCCTCCCTTCAGATGTGAAGGAAATAAGCAGCTATCCTATCTTTAAAAGACATCTGAAGGCAGCCCTGTTTAGGGAAGTTTTTAATATTTAACGCTGTACTGTTTTTAACACTTGATTAGGAGGCGCCCAGAGTGGCTGGGGAAACTCAGCCAGATGGGCAGGGTATAAATAATAAATTATTATTAAATTATTATTATTATAAGGTGTGAAGACCAACCGCATATTAATGTGACCGACAGGTTCCTCACCCTTCTTTCACCCAGGATAAATACAGTGGTACCTCGGTTTTCGGACATCTCCATCTCATTGCTTTTCAAACGCTGAAAACACGGAAGTAAATGCTTCGGTTTTTGAACATGCCTCGGAAGTCTAACTTCCTAGGCGGCCTCCTGTTTGAGTTTTCCATATTGAGTTTTCGGTTTTCAAACATTTCAGAAGTCGACCGGTCTTCCAGAACGGATTGTGTTCGAAAACTGTGGTACCACTATAGAGTCGTACCTTGGTTCTCAAACGTAATCCATTCCGGAAGTCCGTTCGACTTCCAAAAACATTGGATAACCAAGGCGCGGCTTCCGATTGGCTGCAGGAGCTTC